ATAATAAGCCGAGAGACAAACCTCATTACATTTTGATGGTTTGACACCCTTTTCTTCTTTTCATTAGAATAGGTCGAGAGACAAACAACTGTCGACTCTTCATTATCACTTGAGTATTAATCACATGAGGAATCTCTATCGTTTCCCTAAGCAACATATGCTTTTTTAAATTTTCTAGATTTCTTGCGTTGACCCTTCTCATTATCTTTATAAGGAGTGGACAATTCGGCTATTGGAAACTCAGATATTCCTTAGAAACCAAATAGAATGCAAAAAAAAAAGATAAACGATTAATACAATAGATTCTCAATCAATAATTTTATTATGAGCACTATATAAACTTATTTCCAATGAAATTATTGATAAAAAAGAAAACTATCAAATTATCGTACACTTGGTGTACAATCAATTTTTCAGATTTTTCTTTGAACTTTGTTGATCTGAAATACCACTTACAATCTAATTGATTGTAATGTAATCAACAAATCACTTTCAAATATAGTTATCAAAGGATTTGTCTATATGTATTAATTACACAAATAATGGATTTAACAATTTTCTATAGAACGTATATAGAAGTAAATATGAGAGAGAGAGAGAGATAACACAAGGTTTTGTTTAGGCAATTTATCAATCTTCCTCGCTATGGCTACGTCTGCCCCCAATTTCGTTTGAAATTGAGATATCAAATTCCTACTTTGCAAAAAGTTTATTACAAGAAAAATGTGCAATCCAACCCTACAAACCTTATGTTTGATGTTGATTCTAACCCTTTCTCTTTCCATGATTAGAGCTTGATCAAGTCATCTAACAATACTAATTTGATATGTCATCTCGTGCTACTCTTTTGCAATAAACCATCGTCCTTCAGAGTTTTCACTCGGCCGAATCCAAATTGCAAATTATTGTCATCCAAGATTTCCAATCGATTCACTGTCTCATGCTACTCCTTTGAAAGAACCACTCATTCTTCAAATTTTTCTATCTATCAAATTCGATTTGCGAAACCTTGTCAAAAACCCAAAATCAACATTATGATCTTTGAAGACAAGCCCTAAAGTTTTTCCCGATGAAGCCCCAAAAAACTCTCAACCCAATCTTAGGTTACACCAACCTAAATTGAACGTTATCAACACAAGTCTAGATGGCATCCAAGTAAAGAATGATTATGTGTAATATGTTTTTGTGTATGAATAAATGAGAGGTTGAAGATGATGAACAATTTTTATATGTGTTTATAGTTTTATCAAGTTTGAAATGATGCATGTATAAAGCATTTATATGTGTGCAAGTTGGAGGCAAAAAAGGGGGCTTAAAAATTAAAAAGAAATGCAAATTTTCATAGAAACTTCAGTATGTGTCGACACATATAAGTCATGTATTGATACATGTAATGACATACATCGACCCGCTCAAGGTCATATGTCAACACAAAGAAATATAAGCTTACAAGCTTTAAAAATGAAGTACACATGTCAACATGAAACACGTATGTGTCGACACATAGATGAAATTTTTTCAGCATGTGTTAACCTGAAAGGTTATATGTGTTGACACATAGTTACAGTGGCTACAAACTTCATTATTAATCCACGTGTTTCAACTCATACATCATTTGTGTCGACACATAGACTAGTTTTTCATGTAAAAACTCATTTTTAATGCATGATACCTTTTCCAAACATATTCTAAATGCATTCTAAGATCCCTAATGTAAAAGTTCATATAAAGACTCAAAGATATCGTTCAACATACAAAAATGCTAAAGTTATCCTAGTTTTGACATCATGCAAAACATCTAATGGGTATCAGGAAAATGCACTCACAACTTGCCAATGTTATTGAAACATGGTTGGCAGATGCTTGCTTACCAAGAAATGGTAGACCATTTTTCTTTTCAGATTATGTTAACTCGACACCAAGAATATATGGAGGCTCATATACAACTGGAGGCAAGCTTCCTTTAACGTATCAACCATCAACTTCCAGTTTAGCGAATCAACCACCTAAATGGTAGTCATTTAGGTGTTGATTGTGATAACATGAGTTCTCCTCATTTTCACACCCACCACAACATTGTTGACTTAGAGTTATGAATACCTCGGTAAATGAGATTAGATTTAATAGGAAACGTATGTTTCATCAACGGTCAACGAGAAATAGACGTTCTAAGGAGAACCATTTTATTTCAGACTAATTCTTTAGAATCTACTAAATTGAATGTCACATTCAAAATAAAAAATTAATACACTTTAACAGAGTACTTTCTTTTATCTTCAAGACGCCATAACCATTTGTTACTAACATTCATGTGTAAAATAAATTTACCAACAACACAACATTCTCATCTATCTCTTTCTCCCTTACAAAAAAATCCTCTCCACTATTATAGTGTGTCTTAAAACATTAGTTGGTGATGAGAAAGAAAACTTATTTTGGAGATTGCATATACCTTGAAAATCAGAAATTTTAAAAAGTCAAACGAAAAGTCAGAAAAGCATAAATCGGTAAAAATCATACGATGAATAGTGTTGCTTGTACGATGAATAATGTCGTATGTACGATGAATAATGATGTTCATATGGTGAATAATATTATCTGTACTGGTGAATAGTGATGTCCGTACGTCTGTACGACGGTCAGTGATTTCGAGTTTTTCAGATTTTTTTGGCAATTTCTCGTTTTACGTGTTTTGGGCTTTTTGGTCCGATCCATGTGTGATTGGATTATTATTTTGAGCTTTGTTTGTTGGGTATTTGCTATTATAAATATGTATCTCTCATATACTTGTAGGGGCGAATTCTTAGAGTTTATAGAAACAAAGGAGAGTAAGGGTTCAAGGTTAAGGCAAAATGAAACATTTGAAGGGCAAAACTTTAGTGACCTTTGGAATTGTTTAAGGTCAGTGTTTCATTGTAAAACACTGGTTACACATTGAGTTTGAGTTATTCATATATTGAGAGTTAAAGCGGTTGAGAAACACTTTGGTAGAAAATAAGTTGTTCTTGGGCGCTTTCAGGGTTGTTCTTGAGAACCTGAACGCAAAGGTTATTTTCTTATAACTCATTTGTAACATTTTGTAACAACTTTTTGAGTATAGTGAATTAGAGAATTGCCCTCTTCTCTAGAATAGATCGTTTAAACGAACTGAATAAACAATCTTTCATCTTTTTTTCGTCTTATTCTATTATATTATTTATATACTGATTATTATCACAATAAATTATTTATTTTAATTATTACTATTCTTTATTTCACAAATTAATATTCAACCTTTAGTGTAATTCACATCATCCCCATCTCCATCAATAACAACAAAATATTTCTTAGTAGCCAAGTAACTTTATATCACTCAATTCTAACATGTATTATATTCAACAAAACAACAGGCCATGTAGACTTGTACGAAAATGGAAGCGTTCTTTTGTGAGATGACATCGATAGGACTATACCAATTTTGGTATTCATCAAAAATTATTTAAAAAATAAATAGCACTATACCATTTCGCGTTAAGGCATACATGGTGGACCTAAGTTTGACTATAGACACTTTTGTTTAAGTAACTATAGTTGTTCAATTTTATTTAATTAAATGTTGTAGACAAACAAGAGTGCCACAGGATTATGATTAGTTGGGTTTAACCCTACCAATTAATAATTAAAGGAAAATCAAACTCTTAATTATACTCTTTTTCAGTAAATGTAGGGTATTTAGAGGTCAAGAATCATGAACTAATTCATCAAAGTAATGAAATTTAAATAGGTGTCTTTGGAGGAAAAGGAGAGAAAAACTTCATTTTCTGAATGGGGAATATTCGTTATTTTTAAATTTGAAAAAGTATAAAACTTTCAAAAATTATTTAAAGAATTATTAAAATATTATATGATCATCTCTATATATCATTCCTTCATTTTCAAAATAACTCATATTAACCACTTTTCAAGACATTGTTTGAGACATTAAAAGAAATTTTATTTTATCTTTCACATATCAATATTAACTAAAAACATTTTAATTAATATTTTAAATTTTAAATTTCAAATTAAAATAAAATGAAATACAAAAAATAATAAAATGAAATACAAAAAATATTAATATCTGAGCAAGTTATGATGATGCCTATAATAAATTTTTAAGATTTGCTTTGAAGTGATATATGAGTATGGATCCCACCACATACACCTACATGGGATAGCAGAGTACAGAGTACAGCTTCTGAATTATAGTCATGAAAGTAACACATAAACAAAAGACACCAGGCTAACTCAAACGGGTGAGATTGTCCTCACATATTTATATATCTAACAACTCAAAAACTTAAGTAATGTGACACTTCAAACATCACATCTATAATCGATGTCAATATTTTAAAGCCTTTGAGCAACCCCTATTTAAAACCTTAGTTACTAGTACTAATGCTAATGCTGTAGCAAAGAAGTTCAACATGAAAAAATAAAACATATTTTTGCATAAAAAAATAAGTATATGCCTTTACTTTATCTCAAGCTGACCAAGTAAAACTGAATTAAGCTTTGTAGAGTTTCAAACTTTGCACTCACAAATTCTCAAAACCAAACCATTACATTTGCACTCATCACACTTGGTATAAAATAAAAGTCAGTACATATCTTCTATGAGAAGTAAAAAAAGAAAAACAAAGTAAGCTTACAAATATAAAAATTTAGTTGGAGAACCATTCCATCTAAATTCAGTAACTAACAAACCCTACAACTACAAGTTGTTACAAAAGCTAAAATTAGCATAAACCAAACAAAAGAGCAAGCTAATTGCATGTTTGAATTCGCAGCGAGAATAATAGAATCGCAGCGAGTCACTGCGATTTTATCATACTCGCCGCTCATCCAAACATACACCAACTGTTTCCTAACCTCAACACACCAAAATCTAAAAAACTTCCTAAAGCATTTACGCCTCTGATTTCCTATGAAAACCACTTCAAAAGTGTGATTATTTTTATATGTATCTTGCTATTAAGTAATCAAACAGAAACATCAGGAAGTGTGACCAAGAAAAAGTTATCCAAGTCAGGAGGTACAAAGAATGAAAGTGGTGACCTTCTCAAAGAACAATTTGAAACTACCCTTTGTTTCTTTGGTGCTGGTGGACATGTTGAAATCTCAGGTATCCTAAATTTCTGACCCTTTGGTGTAGAACATGCACTGTTACTAACAGAAACATCAATTACCTCAGAAATTTCTTCCTTTGAAGATTCTTGTAAGCTTTTTGTCTCACAGCTAGAAGGCAAAGCCTTGTTAACCTTAATCACTTCTTGTTTTTTGTTCTTCTTGCAGCATGTTCTTCTAGGTTGTCTTGTTCTTGTTCTTGTTCTTCCTGATGTTTTCTTTGTTGTTGTTCCAGAAGGGGCCATTTTTTTTTTTTGAGACAACAAAGAGGGAAAGATTTGGTTTAGGTTAAAAGAACTTAGTAAAAGGTGGTTACGAAAAAAGCTGCAATAACAAGAAGATTGGAACTTGTATGACACAAGCTTATCTAATTGAAGAGTGCTTTGGAATAATCAATTTTGTAGATAAGTTTTTCTTAGTATTGCTAATGATTTCACTGGGAACTTACATCAATGACCTCAGGCACAAAATAAGAAAATATTAATGATGATGACATTAATAACACCATGAAAACAAAATGATGAAAGGGATTGTTGAGGCTTATCAAGTGGTGGGTTTTATAGACTCAATTTTAATACTTTAGGGAAATGAAAAAGAATGTGACTTAAGAGATTTTTGACACTTTTTTTACTACTTTTTTTAATGCTTATTTTAAGGTTCAGAATATTACGGGCAGCGGGCAGAGCTGCCTTTGGAAATTAAGGAGAGAGGGAGAAATTTTCATTCAAATTTTGGGACCCTATTGAACTATTTTTTATGTATGGTAGTATGATGAATTGAATTTTTCTAGAATTTTTTTAAGTGCTAAAAGCATTTAAGAGTTGTTAATTAAATCTATCAGAATCTTTTTTTTCTCTTCTTTTTTGAGTGTAGGGTATTTTATGGGTTATTTACATTTGTGGTGGGTTATCTTACATTCAAATTTCGGTGCTAATTAATTACAAATATTCATTTTTAATTATTGAATTGAAATTTTAGTGATTCATTGAATATTAATGTTACCACAATTAAACACAAAGACATGTGTGTTTGAAAACATGAATTTTTGCGTGTGTTATCTACTGCACTTTTATTACCAAGTTGCTACATTTCCAAACATGTTGTTAAGCTATTTAATAGTATGGTATTTTTATTCAAATCATGAAAATTTATGTGTTAAAAAATTGTTTAGTAGAATTATGTATAAACAATTTGGAAATTTCTTAACAAACTATAACCTTCTAGCAGAGCGTAAATTTTTAAAAGTACCCCAAATATCTAAAAATGTATTTTCGAAAATATATAAAAAAGAACATATATATGATTAAGTAAGTTTTAAAAAAAAATTTATATTAATGACCAAAAAATTTTATAGCATGTTTGAATTGACTTTTGGAAGATTCAAAATTAATTTGAAAGATGTAGAATTGATTCATAGTGATTTTAAAACGTTTAGTTTATTAAAAGTAGAATTGATTCTACTTGAAGCTATAATTTGTATCTTTTGTATCCAGAATTGATTATGAATGATTTTTATACTAAAATTTATTCTTCAACTCACTTTTACATAAATGTATTCAAACACAAATTAATTTTATTAAACTCAATTCCGCTAAAGTCAATTCTACCAAACTCAGTTATATTATAATCAATTTTATCTAACGTCAATCCAAACACATCTTTAGTGGTTACAAACCTGTTACAAACATTCAATAAAAAATATTCTATACAAGAACTAATAGAAGATCACTAAGAACCTGAAATATATTTCCGGAATAAATGTTGTTGTAAAATGGAGCGTAACACAAAAATAAATTAATTATGTGTGTGGGGTGCTTCCAAAAATGTATTTTCGGAATTAACTGAAATTTAACAAAAAAAAGTGCGTCCTGAAGATATACTTCTAAGAACACAGGGGCAAAATTGGATTTTCATAGAGTTTTTTCAATGACATAGGATGTGGTAAAAACTTTCCAATAACTTTTTACTTTACTTATTTATACATATAAATAAAATGTACATAATGGATGTGATGGGTTCTCTGTAAGACCCACAAAGAAGATTTAATAATTAATGTTGAAGAAGAAAGTATATTGAATAGATGTATTTTTCTTGTCAAGAACATGCAATCACGTCTTCTGTCATAAATCTCATCGTTGAATCTAATTGAAAAACAATCTGCACAAAGCGTTAAATTACACTTAGACAATTTTGGTCGTTCATATTATATAAAGACTAGATTGCACCATTTCATATATTCAATTCATCCGCCCTCGTTAAATACTTTTCACCCAGTCACTGAGTTGGGAATGAAAGTGTTATCACCGCCTATCCATTGCACTAAAAGTTTGATTCACCGCACCAGGGTCTGATCTAACATGTTTGAGCCCCATTCTACCACTCTATCACATATTGGTTCCCTGAGAGGAACAATGACGCCGTCTGTGAGAATGGATTCTTGATTCCCGTTATTTTTCCATAAAAACCATCGTCTCTTCATCGAAACAGAGATCATTGATCTGCTTCTCACGAAACATTAATCTCTTTCTTGAACGGATTAAACATAAAATGCACAAAGCCATAGTGACATCAAAGATTACTTGATCCAATGTCACATCATTGTTGTGCAACAAGATCTTGTACCTTCAAGAGATGACTAGGGAACCTTCCAAGCTCTTCCATTTTTCCAACCTCTGCAACAACTTTTCCAAGGGCAACCTTCACAACAACCTACATTGCAACCATTAGTCCCCAGATAAGAGATTCTCTTGAATATTCAATAATTACAAGCCAACTTATGCATGCAAGGAGATGCAGACCTAATAAATAGTGTTTATAACTCAGTAAAACAATGAAGCTCTCAAGCCTTAGTAGAAAAGATACCCATAATTGAAAAAACTTGCAATATGCTCCTCTAAGAACCATCAGCATTCACGAGATGGCCTCACGCACGGACCACAAAGTCATTACACTGTCAGCCCCGGTAGGTGCAACCTCGACGCAAGAAGTATTTTAGAGGTCACTAAGTCATAACAAAAATAGGGGACATTTGACTCCCCCACCTAACTCTAGAGGAAGAAGTAACAGTCACACTTTATCAGAGGTTCGTCGTCCTCGTAACTTGCCAATACACTACTTTCGAAGAAGGGATATGTATAATGCAACCTTGACCTCTGACTCCACTCTCTGTATGCATTCATGACATAAAAATACCAAGGTTCTTTGAGAAGCCCTCAAAGCTAGAAAGTTAAGACAATGAGGGGGATCCAGACGAACATGTAGAATATGTCGACAACATATTACATTATTACCACCCCTAAGGAGCTATGAATGTAAGCTCTTTGCATTAACCTTTAAAGGAGCTTCTATGTCTGGGTTTAAAACCTCTCATCCAAAGCATAAATTCATGGAAGGAACTATGTGACTTGTTAATTCCTTAGTTCACATCTAGAAAGCAGCAACCCACATGTTGGAGTACATTGACAGATTTATCAAGGTAGCATTGGAGGTATGAGGTATAACTGGTGGATTAAAATGATAGATATTCAAAAAGAGAATGATGTTAGATTGCATGTTTTGAGAAAAACTAGGGTTGGAAGGAGCTTGCAGTTTAAGTGGCCTATTGAATAAGGCCAACCATATATAAAACATTAAGAATAATTATTACACGAAGAGAAAGCCCAAGGGATGAGAAACCCTAAATATGTTCGGGTTCTAGAAAAAGACAGTAATCGTCATAGACATGACGTAGAGCGAGGGCCCCGAGCTAGATTTTATGCATACACTCCTTTAAACATGTTGAGAGAAAATATAGTGAGAATGCCCAAACACGTAGTTCAAAGAAGCCAAGATCAATAATTGTTATCCGGTTAGAGTGTTAGCTATAACAAATAAGTCAAAATACTTCCATTTCCATAATAGTCACAATCATGACATCAATGAGTACATTCACCTTAAGGATACGTGTAAACGGTGGGAGAACTAACTTGGTATTTTGCGTTTGATCGCAATTGTTGCGGATAACAAGAGTCGCCACCGACTTTTCTTTTATCCAATTAAGGAAAGGTTAAAAAGAACAAGAAAGGTATTAGCACCATTTTCATGTGTAGCTATCTACGGGCTCTTAGTTGCTTGCTAGATCACTTGATTTTGTTTGAAAATATGCTTGTGGTGTGGGTTTTGAAAGTATTTTGAAAAGTATCTTTGTAATGGTTCTCGTTTCTATAAGAACGCGTGCAAAGTGTTGGTTTTGAAAATAGTTCAAAAGAGGTGTTTGTGGAATGTGTTTTTGAAAGTGATTTTGAAAAGTATCTTTGTAATGATTCTCGTTTCTATAAGAATGCGTACAAAGAGTTTTGTCTTTTTGAAAATGTTTCAAATGAAAGTGTTGGTGTAGAAAAATGTTTTTGTTGTGAGCAAGCGATAAACTATGAGCGTCCTACCTACTCAAAAGGTCTAACGTTTTTTCCTCCTCCTTTAGATGTTTCTATCTTGCCATTGATTTGGTAAGAAGCCCCATCATTGGATGTGAAGGGACGGGCGTGGGACGTTTGTATAGTCATAGAAGGCAACCTATGAGACGTTTTAGCAATTTTTGTTTAGGGACTAGATCGTTTACCAAAGGTAACGTTGAGGGTCATCGAGGGACTACAATCTTTTATCGAGGGTCTTTGCTAAAACGCCCATATTTGAGGGACTTTACTATTTTTTCGAGGAAAGAAGTGAGATTACCCTAGGGGTGAATGTGTGTGAATAATGTGTTTGATTTGCATGCATTTTGTCTTTGATTTTGTTGGGTTGTCTACTTGTTGGTTTTTATCTTGCCATACATCCTAATCACTAACATTTGTACAAAAGCAATAAAAATGAAGAAAATAAATCCTACACTATTACAACCATATTGAATAGAAATAAAATGTAAATACAAAACAAAATAAAAGGAGGAAAAAATGAGCTTTCGATTTAGGCAGCAGAACCCTTTGATTATGCTCTTCTTGGCTTCCATCGATTTGGCCTGGAAGTAGTAAAGACAGGTCTTTTGATTTGGGCTTAGCGGTGAAGGATGAGATGCAACCTGCCTTTCTGCTTCCTTCGATTGGGGCCTGGAAGTCAGTGTGGACATCCTTCTGGCTGCCTCTTTCGTTTAAGGCTTGGAAGTCAGTATGGGTATTCTACTGGCTGCTTCTTTCGACTGGGCCAGGGAATAAATGTAAGCACCTTTCATTTCTCCCTTCTTGCTCCTTCGTTTGGACTGTGAAGAAGTAAG